GGGGGTAGGAAGAGGATGGAGAAGGGGAGGATGTAGGTGTGGGTGTGAGGGAGTGATGTGGATTGGGGCCGCCGCCGCCCTGCCTCCTTCCTTCAGGCTGGGCCTCAGGAAGCTCCTCGAGCAGCCGATCTCCTTCTTGCCCCGTTAACCCGCGATCATTGCCCACTGTCTTCTTCACTGCCCCCGGGGCGGCCTCTCACATTCCCCCGGTCTCGGAAACCCGAATCCCGGCCGCAGGCTCTAAGGTCAGCGCCAGCTCCGCTCTCACCAGGCCCCAGCAGCCACTCACCGGCACCGCCGTAAACTGTAAAAAAGTCGCAAAGTCTACGTTCGAGGTTTTGACAGTTTAAGGGCGGGGCTATGGTGATCTACCAATGATATTGAGGGTCCATTTTATTAACCAATAGGAGTAAGGGAGCTGTATCCTTAGGGACCAATAGGATTAGAGATCTATGTTTATAGACCAATAGGATTGAGGAGACTATTTTTATGGCCCAATAGGAACAAAGAAATTTTTTTTGAGGTATTAGTGTTGGCCGTCTACGTTTATAGACCAATAGAGTTGGTGGTCTGTTTTTATGCACCAATAGGAGTAAACTACACCGCCCTATTGACCAATAGGGCTGAGGGGTTTATTTTATGCACCAATAGGATTGAAGTGTCAAATATCATCAACCAGTAGAATTGAAGGGTTTGTTTCTATGGACCAATAGGATTAAAGGATCTATTTTAAAGACGCAATTAGATTGAAAACTGGAAGACCAATCGATTGAAGGGCCTATTTATCTGGACCAGTAAGATTAGAGGATCATCTTGATGGACCAATGGAATATGAGAGCCTATTTGTGATGAACTAATAGCAGGCGAGAACTTATGGCAACTATTTTGGTGGAGCAACAAATGAAGGGAAGGTCTATTTTAATGGATTAATGGGAATTGAGTAACATTTTCTTGCTGGATCAGTAAATTGTTGGGCCTATCCTGTTGGACTAATTAGGCAGAAAAGCTTATCTTGATGTGAGGAGAGGTCCTATTTCTATGGACCTTTATGAGAGACAGTCCGTTTTGATGGACCAATACACTTGGATCGCCTATTTTGATATATTAGTAAAAGAGAGATGGACCAATTTGTAATAAACCACGAACCAGAAATGCCCAAAAGCACCCCCTTTTTGATCGTCTCATTATGGGAACTGTGGATTGTCCCAAGGATACCAAAACATAAATCAGCTCAACTGCTTGTTTAGGGCATTACTAATGTAAGAAAAAAATTAATAATTTCTGAACTTAACAAGTTCTATGTGAACAATAGCAAAGGGAGCCATTGCAAACAGATTACAATGTCGAGTTGGTTGGGCATCTAGCAATTTCTGCCCAAAAAGCATAATACTGTGGATGCTGGAAATTAGAAACAAAAATTGGATGATGCTGGAAATACTCTGGAACTAGTGGCAGAAACTATGGAGAGAAACAGCAAAGAGCCAAGATATCCATTGAAACAAGTGCACACAAGGAAAAAAGTTACTTGATTAACAGTATTTTCTCATATTTATTTGTCAAATGTATATTTGCACAAGTTAAAGGGATGTCAAGCACTTGCAGTTTCTGCTACTGGTATTTTAAAGTTTAGAATTGTTTGCCCCCTTTGTTGGGTGACTTTTAAAGAAAATTATGAATGAATTGTATTTTCATAAAACCCTTGCATACATACTACTGATAGTACAAGGCTTGTGGTTCTGTACAGTGTTTATGAATACAGGATGAATAGTCATGGGAATGTTATGAGTTGACATGGAGGCTATGAGGGACCAAAGGAGGGACAGTGAATGGGCATGGGCTGACATGGAGGATAGAGAGATCTTTGTGGGTAAGTGGGAAGATATTTTTTGCCGTGTATTGTTTGAGCATCCATTGGGTGTGAGTGGGCAGTATCAGTTGGATGGGGGGAGCATAGGTAAGAACTCTTGAAGTTATCTTTCAATGGTACCCTCTTCTAGACTCCTCGGAGGGGCTGTAGACCACAAGTCCTCAAAACATTGGCTCGACTCCAAGAAAATTGTGGAGACTGGGATTTGGGTATTGTGCAATAGAGCCAGCCAGGTAGGAAGTGTTGGTAGTGGATTCATTGCCAGTATGTTAGGACATTTGCATCTGATGGGGACCACCAATTGTGGAGTGATTACAGTAAAAGTACAATAAGTCTCAGGGATCCAACCCCCAAACTTGTGTTAAATGGAGCTTTGGGATAACTGAGGATTCCCCCATATAATTCAATTTTCATACAAATGTGTTCTATGTTAAAAGTGATAAGACAGTGTTAATATAAATATCTGAACGATGTCTTTATTTTTCAATTTTTTCAAATCTTGTCATGGCTTAGCCAGGTGGGGCAATTAAAAATCTTGGGATTAGTGTCTAGAAAGCCTCCAGAAATGTTCTTTATCTTCTTAGCGGTTGTCATTAGACAAGTGTGGTACAGTATGCTATATTGTCAAGTAAGCTAAACATATTTTTTGAGTATTTGTGGTGAAGTGTGAAAGCCTGGAGACTTTGTCACTTCACCTAGAGAAACAGGCTGGTCAGTAGGCTGGCATTCATTGGACTCTTCAGGGTCACCAGCCTCCTCAGTTGAAGCAGATACTGCATTCATGATTGTCTTGTGTATTGGTTCATTTGAGCAGTATGACACTTTCCATGGTGGTTTCTTCTGGAGTTTCCATGCTGTCCTTTTCCAGATGAGCAAAAAGAATTTTGTCATTCAGTTGGTTGGTGTGATCCTGCATTTCCATGTTCTTGGAGTTTGTGCAGTTGTAGCCTATTTGAACAGAGAGTGACAGAAGTAGTTGGCAACTGTAACTTCCATCATTGTCTCCAATGCCTTTTTCATTATGAACTTTGCCTCTAGAGCACCTTTTCAATGGCCTTGGTAACCTGGGAGATCAGCTGCCTATGCAGTAGAGCTAGCCTTTTTGTCTTAGCTTTGTCTCCAATCAATAGCTCTATTAATCTTCTCTCAGTTTGCACCAATCTTGCATGGTTTGAACATTCTTTCAGAGCAATCTCGATATTGAATGATGCTTGAAGGTTTTCTGAAGAAGGGTCCAGACCCGAAACGTCAGCTTTCCTGCTCCTCTGATGCTGCCTGGCCTGCTGTGTTCATCCAGCTCTACACCTTGTTATCTCAGACTCCAGCATCAGCAGTTCCTACTATCTCTTACCAGTTTGGATTATTGGTCATGGCCATCATTCTATTGGATTTATTATTCTGTTAGTGGACATGACAA